TCTCTGACAAAATGGTGCTGGCCTTTGGTGATTGGGTGGTGTTGCAACATATAAGGTCCGCTCCAGTAAATATTGATACCGGTATTGTTGTTAAGCACCATCAAACGATAGAACAACGGACAAGCAGCGGCCCTCCATGTTTGGCATAGTGCTAATAGTGGTAGTAGCTTTAAAGTGGTTTTCGGGAATTTAGCTTTGTAGCAGATTTCTATTGAGTGAAGTGAAATAGGAGGAGCGACATAAGAGACAATTAGGTGGAGAATTTCAAAAGGAAGCGTCTGAGCTATCGATAGAGCTGACATATTTTGCTTTAAATTGGAAAGACGAATGCTGGCATAAAGAAGAGAAAAACGACCTTTGGCCACAAGCCGCTTTTTGAGTAATCAAAGCATTTGTTTGTTATAATTTTGGCGGTTATGATCAGTTGCCAAGATCTAGAATCATGCGCATCAGGATCTAACCACGTAGAGGCTATTGAAGTAAAACATTAGCTCAATATAGGTAACTATTCGCTTACAACCGCTACTTTGAGGATATGCAATATCCATATAATTTACAGCAAGCCTGGCTGGTAAAGCCTTATCCCTTCACTCGTGAATAAATTGTAATGTTACGCTAGCAACTGCCATTTACATAAACCAGAAAAGCGGAACTGTTAACTAATTCCAGTCGATGGCAAACCTGCCTTGTCCGTAAGCAACGCCAAGATGCAGTCGCACCTCATTCTCTGACGCCCGTTTCATATAATCTCCGTCATTTATTGTGGCCAGCGCGCTGGATGCTATCTGCTCTGGTGTCGTTTTCGAGTCCTTCAAATCCTGTGCAGTAATGTGCACAAAAGCAAAGATAAGCACGAGTTTTTGAATGTATCTGCCAAACGGCTTCATTGTAACTGTCCATGTTATACATTTGTCTGTTTGCGGCTGGAACAGGAAGCTCTGGCTGTACTCCAGAGGTGTAGGCTGGCCAGAATAATACTTGGGCAAACCAATCTTGCCAATAATACGCCAGCATGCAAGTTCCATTCTTGTCTGATCGGAATATAAGATATTGCTTTTCAGATCCGGCATCAGTGCATGCTGGAACTCCTGATGAAGCATGCCAATATTTTTGTCAAACAAGCTTTCAATCAACTGATGGCGCTCAATGTCCTGATGGACCTGATCGCGGGTCCCAAAAAGTGCAAGCAGCCGAATAGACTCCCAGAGTTTGCGTAGGTGGCCATTTGGAATCCTTAAGGTGTTTCCAGCGCCAATGGTCAGATACCCGATATGTAGCAGCAGCGTTGCAAGGCTATCCATATCTAGCTGTTCATTATAAGCGCCAATCAAGCTAAATTGATACAGCACGAAATTCTGTGTTCTGTCTTCCATGTCATGGCCTGCGTTCTGTGATTCCTGAAGAGACGGCCAAATATAACAACTGTGCTTGTCGGTGTCGTAGCCATGAATAAGTCTGGTAGACAGAAGCAGCATGTTATTCCGGTGCGTACACGCAGCAGCTCTAATTGTATCATGGATCTTAGGTACCTTTGAATAAGCAAGAATAGTGTCATCAACAGAATTGTTATGGCGGTAGCGTGAACTGAAAACAGTGTTAAACAAACCGCAACATATCCTCCTTGTAACGCTTCTGTCTGTGCCAAAGTATGGAATCACTTTCTCCAAAGTATATTCAACTGTATCCTTGACCGGTGGATATTGCTTCATATTGCATTTAATGAATTCGATGGTCTCTTGGATGCTAAACCCAAACATAGATTGAAGGGCTGCTTCATAGCTCATATGCGATAAAGTTTTTGCTACATTGTCAGTGCTGCAGTGATAATCTGTATGCGAGATGGTAAGCACGTTGTCCAAAGATGGTCCGTCGTTGCCAGCGCTGAGCGGAAGATTATAAGTACCGACAAGTAGTGCCTTTTGAAGGTTGTTGTTGTTTGTAAGCATATGAGAAAGCAGCCCAATATAGAGTCTCCGTGCCTGATCTGCCCATGCCATATCATGAATAGCAGCCAGCAAATAATCGTAGTTGTCCACAAGTATAATATAGCGTTGCTGGTAGACATCCACTAGTAGACTCGAAAGAGTGGTAAATAGCGAGATAAGTACAGTATCTTGCTCCTCATCCAACTCGATTCTGTTACTAGTCATATCACTTAGCGCTTCGTATTGTGTCTTAAAAGTAGCAAACATCTCGGTCTGCTTTTCTGTAAAGCCTTTGCGATCCAGCCATTTGATCCAAAATGCAGCAGGAACTAGAATCGACTGATATAGGATACGGCGGAAGTGTGTTAATGTTGTCAGTTGGTAACGCTAATAAAATGCAGTGTGCAGCGTATCCAAAAAAAAAAAAAAAAAGAAAAGAAAAGGAATCAGTGGAAATAGAGGCGGGAAACCTACAAGCATATTTGGCTGCTCGCTCTTCAAGTTGTACTCACCATAATGCGAATCAGGATTACTGGATAACGGCAAAAGTGCTTCTCAAAGAATTCCGGCGCTTCCTGAAGCAACAGAGACTTTTTCAGTGGACTTTCACGGCAGCGGTAAGCCTCTGCAGCATCAAATACAATCTGATCACTTGGGAGATTTCCACAATGAACCTCCATGTCTATATACGGCAAGTCGTACTTGGTTAGAACGTTGAAGAAAAACAATAGTGTGTTCAGGTTGAATGACTTTCCAAAGCCATCAGGCACGCACACCCGCACCACCTGGGCATCAATTCCAAATAAAGCCTTGCAAATAAGCGTCTTATCTACTTGCGCTCCCTTAGCAGAGCTGTTATAAGTATAGAATCCTATATCACTCTCGTGAGAAACTCTGGTCAGCGACCAATTGACAGTCTCCGCGTCAGAATCAGTGCCACAAATAGCAGCCGTCTGCCTGGTTTCGTTATTAAAATGGTTGTTGAAGAAATTCATGGCAGAGAACGTAAAAAGTGCAATGAGAGCTAACACAATTAAATAAAAACAGTTTTATAGAATTTTAGAGTCAAGCTCTTAAGAACAGAGAGCGCTTTGTATCAACCATGGATTGATTTATGGTACGTAGAAATTGGACGCTAGCTGCGCATAATGGGGATGGTCTGGATAGGATTGACAACCATTTTGCAAGATTGGTCTGGATCGACCGTTGCTTAAATCTAACAGTTGAAATGCGGTCAATATTGGATTATACTGGAAAGCCAACGCGATATGATAAGCGAATTGTAGATGCTGAATAGACTTTGCCCATGTTAGAAGTGACGCAGCCAAACCAAAACCTGATACTTACTACGTTAATTAGAACGACATGTTGCTCAGCACATTAGCCAGTTAATGCGCAACCGATAAATCAATGCGCGCAGTGCGGCTGAATCTGTATGCGCTTATCGTGTGAGCGCTGCAAGCAACTATTGCGAGCTGCAAAAGTAGACCCGATTGTTGCATTAGCAGCATGCGGAAGGTAATGTACAGCTGTGCGGCTGTGCAGGCCTGCCGCTAGCAATGACTGCCATCCAGACATGCGCAAGGAAATGGCCGCCGCTGTCCATTGCTTGCATGGCACTCGACTACTGTATAAGCAGACTGTATTTCCGTAGAGCAGCGTACTGACAGCGAGTGCGCCATACGACCAGAATGCTTAGGCAATGGCGCTCAGAAATAACGGGGAGCGCAGGGATGTGGGGTAATGTGGAGCAATGCGGGGTAAACTGATAGACTACCGCCGGCGGAGACAAATAAAATAGAAAGGAGTATTCGGGGGGTCTAGCTCAGATGGTAGAGCGCTCGCTTAGCATGTGAGAGGTACTGGGATCGATACCCAGGTCCTCCAACTCCTTTTGCCGCGTGCCAATTTGATGCCTTGGCTAACATTTTACCTTTCTTTTTGCCACTGGCGCTGCTACTGCCCAGGCTTGGAGCGCTGTGCTACTATTTTGCGTATCTCGGAGCACTATAGCACAGCAGCGCATGTGCATACGTTAGAGAGCATTGGGGACGAGTCGTGCAAAGTCAGCTTCTGCAAAGGCATTGCCGCACTATTGTCATGAAGCAGGCTGGTCTGCAGTTGCCAGCCTTTGTCCACACAGCCGACTGCAAGCAGACTATCTGCCTTTTTGCTGCAATCACAGCTGCATCGAACAATCCCCAGATGTTGCATCTGTGTTTGTTGCCGACGGCTGGTACAAAAACAGACACAGATGCAAGATCTGGCAACAGCAATTTATGGCGGTCAATCCTTTGCGTGCGTGTTCATACACACAGTCCGATTGCGCATCCTTATCGGTGAACAGCAACCCAACACAACCCAACACTGCAATGCAGATGAGGGATACCAACCAACTCATACAAACAAAGATTCCCAAAGAGATTCCCAAAGGCAGTCGGAGGAACTGACAGCATCGATGGTCAGTGTTCACAAACAGAATTTCCAATGTTTCAAGTTTTTGTTCGCTCGCTTTCCAGCATCAGATCTCAGCCAAATACTTTGAGTATTTACATGGATTGGAGAAAAACTGAATCAAAAAGAAAAGAAAAGACAAAGACGCTTACAGAAAGAAAAGTGAAAAAAAGGGACTGAGATGTTGGAAAGTGTAGTTGTTTCTAGCGAGTGTTCTTGCCAGTCAGTCTGCGCAGGTGGAATGTGCCACGGAGGCTGGCAAGCGGGTTGCGGGATGGCGGAGGCATGACGTTCTTGGC